GTAATAAAAAATGCTGATGTAATATTTTCCCTATAATTATTACGAAAACACAAAATAAGCATAAATAAGTATTTATATTTGTGTACAAGCTGTTTAGATTGTCAAAAAGCCTGTGTTTTTAGGGTTATTAATGAAGTTCGTGTACTCAGACCAGTAATATTTGGGGTCACAAGTTTTTGCCATGGATATTTTGTGGGTCAGAAGATAAAAAATTTGGGAACTACTGAGCTAGAGAACCATGGCAAGAGAGAGAAGTCTGTCAGAAGTTAATAGAAATGATAAGAAAAACCCTGATGTCATAAGGTCTTCACGCAGTGATCAACCACCAAACTGATGAAAACATTTCAAACATACTGAGTACTTCATGTATAAATATTTTCCATGTCCAACACTCACTGCTGACTGAAGTTGTTGGCTGTGAGCCATGTCGTCACCTCGGCAGGAGGGGAGTGGTAGTTCAGGGGGACGGGCGTGTCCACCTGCTGCTGATCCACGGAGTTCCTCTGCTTGGTGAGCCGCTGCAGAAGCTCATCGTTCATGACTAGGACTGTGCAAACACACAGAGTACTTGTAAACGTGTGAAATATGTTTGCAGTTTGAGCAGCACAGTCCATGAGTCCACGTTACCTCGATCCCCGTCTTCTCTCGACATAGATGTAAACGGTAGAACCGTGCTCTGAGGTCGCACTGTCAAAGCTGGAGAACCGGCTCCGTCTGAGCTTGATGGAGTGTAGGAGTGGCACTTTGTCCGAGGGTTTGAGGCTGTTTGCTGTCATGAAGGAGCAGGAGTGAATGGAAACAGAGGGTGGTTAGGGTTAGGGTTAGAGTTAAAGTTAGGGCTAGGGAACACAAAGTTGTAGTTGTGGAGCTCTGTCTCCATTTGTACCTTTAAATCAGGTCGAAGCTCTGGATTGTTCCTCTCTGCGCTGTTCCCAGCAGACAGAGGCTCCAGGATATTATATGGAACAAATCCTGTTTGGTCGTAGCTGTTCCGACACTTCCACCAGCGCTTTGAGGAGTCAAGTACCTGAGAAAAATAAATAAATAAAAATTGATCAAATTCTACTTTAACAGAAAAGTCCAGTGATGAGCTACCGTTCACAGCATACCTCTAGTGTTTCTCCATGGAGAACAGAGAGTTCACTGCTGTTTCTGGCCACAAAGGCATAACTGCAGCGGTACAGTTTCTCAGTTTTCTGCAGGAGCCCATTTCCACCTCTGAATTATACACACACAAAAAGAAAGGAAGAAAATCAAGAAATTGAAAGTTGCATTCACTTTGGCCAAACCTTTAAAGTATCATTAGATGTATGTGTTGTGACTGACTCTTGTGTAAAATAGACTAAGTTAGAGTCATTTTTGTGTTGCAATGTTGATTAGCTGTGGCCTGAACCAACTCCAAGAAGTGAATCCATTGTAGAACTGAATCCACTGCAGAAATTAGACATTTAAAAATAAGTTTAAAATACCAAGTTATAGTCTAAGTCTTCTCAAATTCAGTGAAATAATGTTTTGGTGCAGTTAGACAGCTGTGGTTTGTTAAGACGTCTTGAAATAAGGAAACATTTCCAGGCTAACAAGATCAATAACTTATCAACCTGTTTTACACATGTTCTGTAATAGAGACCTTAGACTGAAGGCAACCTATTGAACATGTTTTTTTTTTTGCCTGTTGGAGAATCCAGAGTAAACCCAAACAAGCCTGAGGAGAGCACGCAAACTCCACACAGAAAGACCCCAGGTCTGARCCAGGGRTTGAACCCAGAACCTTTCTGTGAGGCGTCAGTKCTAACATGCTGCCTAATCATCTCACTCATTCTGCTCTTGCTTAGTATAACAGTCTCAAAACAAGATCAAAAATACTTTTTGGCCGGATATAAGATTGTAAGACTTAGTTAGATAAACAATTTTTGCAGTGATTTTGAAAGGTTTCAATAATATACATCCAATGGTTTATGAGCTATTTTGCTAGCAGACACACATACAGGCAAAAACATATATTGTCTACTTTGACCTTTTGATGGCAGGATTTAGAGATTTAATAACTTGAGGCAGGATTTCAACACTGTTTTTCCTGATGAGACATTTTTTATCTTAATCTCTGTCAGATTGGATTATTTAGCCAGTCTTCAGGGACCTTGTGAAATATTGTCCCTCAGCGTCTTTAGGCTTACATTTTATCCATGCCATCAGCTGTAGGTGGAGGTAGGTTTTGTCTCTGCATCCTCTCGCTGTCTCTGATGGCGTCTTCTTTGTGCTGTGACTGGACAGGATCTTCGAGTAAGTTTTGTCTCTGCCTCCTCTCGCTGTCTCTGACGGCATCTTCTTTGTGCTGCGACTGGACAGGATCTTCGAGTTGCTGGCCAGTTGAGTCATAAGCCCGAGGTTTCCACCCATCCAGGAAAACAGGAGAGTACAGAGGCACGGATCTACTGAGGCCCAAACTGAGCAGGAGGAAGAGGAGGTGGTGTGTTATTGTCAGTAAAAGCAACAGTCTGATCATTTTATACCACGAGCCCTTGATCTATAGCATGGAATAATTTGGCCATTTTCTTTACACTCCATGCTCTACATTGATACTTCTGATAACGCTGTCCATCCATCTGTCCATCTATTTTCTGCCGCTTATCCAGGGTCAGGTCGCGGGGGGCAGCAGCCTAAGCAGAGAGACCCAGACTTCCCTCTCTTCAGCCACTTGGACCAGCTCGTCCAGGGGAATCCCAAGGTGTTCCCAGGCCAGCTGAGAAACATAGTCCCTCCAGCGTGTCCTGGGTCTTCCTCTGGGCCTCCTCCCAGTGGGATATGCCTGGAACACCTCACCAGGGAGGCGTCCAGGAGGCATCCTAACCAGATGCCCGAGCCACCTCAACTGGCTCCTCTCGACATGGAGGAGCAGCGGCTCTACTCTGAGTCCCTCCTGGATGACCGAGCTTCTCACCCTATCTCTAAGGGAGAGCCCAGACACCCTGTGAAGGAAACCCATTTCAGCTGCTTGTATCCATGATCTTGTTCTTTCAGTCACTACCCAAAGTTCGTGATCACAGATGAGGGTAGGAACGTAGACCGACCGGTAAACTGAGAGCTTTGCCTTCTGGCTCAGCTCCCGCTTCACCACAACAGACCGGTACAGCGCCCGCATCACTGCAGACGCAGCACCAATCTGCCTGTCGCTCTCCCGCTCCATTCTTCCCTCATTCGTGAACAAGACCCCGAGATACATAAACTCCTCCACTTGGGGCAGGACCTCCTCCCCGACCTGGAGGCGGCACGCTACCAGTTTCTGGCTCAAGACCATGGTCTCGGATTTGGAGGCACAGATCCTCATCCTGGCTGCTTCACACTCGGCTGTGAACCACTCCAGCAAGAGCTGAAGATCACGATCTGATGAAGCCAATAGGACCACATCATCTGCAAAAAGCAGAGATGTGATCCTAAGGTCACCAAAAAGGATCCCCTCAACATCTTGGCTGCTCCTAGAAATTCTTTCTGTCCATAAAAGTTATGAACAGAATTGGTGACAAAGGGCAACCTTGGCGGAGTCCAACTCTCACCGGAAACGAGTCCGACTTACTACCGGCAATACGGACTAAGCTCTGGCACCGGTCATACAGGGACCTAACAGCCCGTATCAATGGGCCTGGTACCCCATACTCCCGGAGTAACCCCCAGAGGAGTCCCTGAGGGACACGGTCGAACGCCTTCTCCAAGTCCACAAAACACATGTAGACTGGTTGGGCGAACTCCCATGCACTCTCCAGGACCCTGCTAAGGGTGTAGAGCTAGTCAGCTGTTCCATGACCAGGACGAAAACCACACTGCTCTTCCTGAATCTGAGATTCGATTATCCGACGGACTCTCCTCTCCAGAACCCCGAATAGACCTTACCAGGGAGGCTCAGAAGTGTGATCCCCCTATAGTTGGAACACACTCTGCGGTCCCCCCTTTTTAAATAGAGGCACCACCACCCCGGTCTGCCAATCCAGGGGAACTGCCCTTGATGTCCACGCGATATTGTAGAGTCTCGTCAACCAATGCAACCCCACAACATACAGAGCCTTAAGGAACTCCGGTTGGATCTCATCCACCCCCGGCGCCCTGCCACAGAGGAGCTTTTTAACCACCTCGGTGACCTTGGCACCAGAGATTGGAGAGTCCGACCCAGGGTCCCCAGGCTCTGCTTCCTCATGGGAAGACGGGTCGGTAGGATTGAGGAGGTCCTCGAAGTATTCCGCCCACCAACCCACAACGTCCCGACCGGGCTCCATGGGTGAAAGCCTGGCCACCAGGTGCTCGCCAACGTGCCCCACCTGCAGGCCTGGCTCCACAGTAGGGCCCCGTGACCCATGTCCGGGCGAGGGAACACAGACTCCATTTACTGTATGGTACTCATCATAGGGGTCTTTGAGCCGCACTTAGTCTGATCCCTCACCTAGGACCTGTTTGCCTTGGGTGACCCTACTGGGGGCATGAAGCCCCAGACAACATAGCTCTTAGGATCATTAGGACACTCAAACCTCTCCACCACGATAAGGTGGCAGCCCAAGGAGATAACTATTTGGCAAAAATGACCAAACTATCCCTTTAAAGCAGAATGTGAGCCACACAGACCAGGGTGAAGTCCAGTTGGTTCCTAATGATATCCACAGCTCCTTCTCCTCTTTGTTCAGGTGCTTGTGGAGCAGAGAGATCGCCCCGCTGGTCATAGCTGGACTGACCACTGATGCAGCCAGCGTTGGTCCTCCAGTGGTCTGCACTGTCTTCACAAAGAGATGATTCGTTCTTCTTCAGTAAAGTTGTCATAAGAGAGTTTAATTCTTTTGGGATACATTACTCACCAGGTTGAGAGGCACAAAAATGTGGTGAAGCAGCTCCGGAGCACTCGGCTGCGAGATGAAAGGCTTGAGGCGGTCCTGCATTTAAAAGAAAATAATAGATTTACCAGTGTTTATCTAATTCAAATGTGTTAATAATAAGGCAATAATTACCAGCATGCAGATGGAGTACTTAATTTTCTGAAAGACATTTATAAAGTCTTCTTCTGGAGGAGGGTCTGCTTTGGCCGTCAACAGGTCAGAAACTGAAAAACAAAATGCAGACAGAGTCACAGCCAAAACAACAAAAATACAAAAAAAAAAAAAAAAAAAAAAAAAAAAACAGGGTGAGTCAAATGTTTCAGGACATCCTTTTCTTTCAGAAAGAAAAGTCAAAATGACATATTTGAGTACCCCAAGGTAAGTCTATCTTTTAAGACATGTCTAGAACATGGACGCCATATTGGATCAAAATAAGGGACTTTTGACTCACTTTGTACACCTGAAGCAGTTACAGACACAAAACAAACATCCTTTCATATGTAAACTGAAAAATAAACTTGATATATTTTGATACTATTTATGCTCTCAAACGACACGCAAAGTAAGTCTAATGCTTCACTTTTTAACGCAAAAAGAAGAAACTAAAGCCTTGCATGTTAACGCTTTTAACAAAAAAATGTTAATGAGTCGCAGATGCACAACACATTTATTATCACCTGCCATCAAAGGGAGATGGGGCAATAATGTTTTAGAGTGTATAAAACTTAACTTTTAGTATCAACTCAGTATGTATTCCGTAAACCTTTTTTTTCTTCCTGTGTAGATAACTTTAAGTTTAATGTCATCAGTGTTGTCAGCACAAAGGAATGAAGTGAGTTTTTATCTTTCTGGTTTGACTTCATTATAGTTTCAGGCACTTTATCTGGTTCCCTTTCATCCTCAGAAACCGGATTAAAGACAGTTTACACAAGGAATTTATTCAAATCAGATTTTTTTTCTTATCTAACCACAACAATGGAAAGTAAAATGAGATGCGAGGAATGACTGGAAGTTGAGAATTAAGACAGGTCAGCTTTTATATGAGCAGACCTGATTGTCCTCCAGGAAGAGGGAGAAACATCACAAATATAATTTTGTGAAAGCTTTTTCATTTTTAGAATGCAGTTTTAAACTTTTGTGCTGTTAAGCAGAAATTAGCATCACTATTTTTTATGTTATTCAGCTCGATTATCTTTTTTAAAGCATTAGACCTATAAAAAAGGCATAATTTGTCGCACTACTGTAGGGCAAGTCAGGATCTGAAGGTAGAATGACTGTAGTTTTATTCTATGAATAGGCTTGTTTCAGTTTTAACAAAAACAAAAAGGGATGTAATTCTCACCACCTTGATTCTCAGTTTTCTTGTCTTTCCTGCCGCTCCTCTTTTTCCTCTGGTTGAGAACGATCCGGGCCTCGGCTGCCTGCTGCAAGCGGGTCATGAATTTCTCCACGTCCTCAAAGCAGTGGTTTAAAATTTCCTGCCAAATAGTTCACATTTTAGGCATTTAATTAGATTAGATAAGTTTATAAAAAAATAAAGTATTTATGTTACATGAGTACTTACAACTTCTCTGTCTGCATTCTGCTGGGACATTTGACTCGACTCCCCACTTGCACCGTTCACTACATTACATACAAACAATCAAAAATAAGCTGTATTTATTGCAAAGTCTTTAAAATACAGGTTTGTGCCAGCAGATGTTTTGGTTGTAAGATACCATTTTCAGGCTGTTCTCCTGAGGCGATTCTCACTCGAACAGCTGGTTTCCTGGGGACCACTTGAGGATGTGATCCGGACATCCCTCAAATCTGGATGCAAACAGAGTAAAAATGAGTGATGCACATCAGGACAGACTGGATGTTCCCATGCATCAGTTCTACTAAAAGTTATCCTCTGACAAGTCCTGCAATTTGCACACATGCTGTCGTGTCCCACTGCCCGTTTTTAAAAACAGGCACTTTATTGGTCTCCTCGTTGACTCCAGGGTTGAAAACTGACCAACAACTCTTGAACGTTGACCAGGTTATAATATTGATCCTGAAATAGATGACCTGATAAAAACTGTGTTAACATGTTAACACATGAAGATGCTTGATATAAACTGATTGGTGTTAATAGCTCAAAATCCTCCCTTTCAGACAATTTTATTTGTGCACAGCTTTCCTTTTTTCTTAGAAAATACACATCTAAAAATTTGTTGTTTAAAATTATTTTCCTGTTATGTTTTGTTTTAGTTTCCACTATCTTTTGCAAAATAACTTCCTGCTTACCTATTATAGCCATTCTTACATCAAAACGTTCCGCTCATTTGGAAAATGGGTGATATGGCGTGTGATTTTTATAACTTTTATACTTTTGAAAAGATTTAACTTTATTTACTAATATTTTCTCCATAGAAATACATTGAGAGCTCTGCGATTTCTGCTAAAACATTATTCTCTAACACACCCCCTCTCATTTTGTTTCCTTCTGCTACTTTTAGCTTTTAGCAAGAGTTCTGCTGCTTTTAGCTTTAACAACTTAGTTTCTTGAGGAAATCTTAGGAGTACTAATTCTCACAAAAAAGGCAATTTCTCTAGATATAAATGAGTTGACTGTAAATAATTTAATGCTTGTCTTCAACTTACAAAATCTGAATATTTCAATGACCTTATTAGATTCTAAATTGGATGTTATTGGCAATAAAATATGGTTATTTTGTATTTACGTGCAGATAAATGACAAAGAACACATGAACAGCCACTACTAGCTGGTGTCATGCAGACGATCAACACAGCCATAAGTTTGTTTGAACTTTATTAACTGAACTGGACAAAAGCTAAACTGTAGTTTTTTTAATCCTTTAAGTAATAAAGGAGCGAACTGTGCAGGAATATTTTTGAAAATAAAACTAGGTTTTGTGAGCAGCACAGACATTCCTAACACTGTGCTAAATCATAACACAGGCCAATGTAACAAGATGAATTATATGAGGCCTTGAAGTGTTACTGACACAAGACAGCTGTCAATCATCTAACAACTGTGTTTTTTAATCTTTCTTTTTGTCTGTCTTAATCACACAAAAATAAGACACTAAAAACTCAGGAAAACGTATCACTCTACCTTTTCAGTGTCGTCTGAGAGTTAAAATCCAAGCGTCTCACACCGATCCTCCTGCTAACTGTAGGTGAGCTGAGTTTTGGCTGTTTACAACAACAGGATGACGTGCCTTTTTCAGATGTACCAAGACAAGAAAAACAAGTCTGGCTTTCCTCTGGCTGTCAGTCTGGGCTGCTTTCATTCTCATTCTCTGATGCAGACACACACACACACACACACACACACACACACACACAC